TTTATCTTCAGATTGATTTTGTTACAATACAAAATGATCAAAGAAAAACAATGATAAAATGTATCAATTTCGATTGTTATTACTTTTTTAAACAAATAAAAATAAATAATTGATATTAATTCAATGGTGAGAATATGTTAACATCTATTCTTATTTTAGCAAATCACTATTTATTGACCTTCGTATGATTCTTTATGCTCTTAACAAAGAAATCTGTGCATAAATACCGTGAAAAGAATGTTAACAATAATTTGTGTTCGAATTTGATCATTTTCTCATATTCTACGATTTTCAATAAAAAAAAAAAATCTAGTTGATAGGAGATAAAAATGAATAATCCATAATCTTCAAATTAGTTTGTGAAATAGGTATCATTACTTTTTTTAATGGATAGAAAACATCCTTCGATCACTAATATAGATTATTTGGACAATTCTCATAATCGAAAGTGAGACAAAAGAGAAAATAATAGTCAAAATAAATCCCTTTTTCGAATGATTTGTCAGTAACCAATATTCATGCCTATCAACTATTTTCATGTGTTTTGGTTGTCAATAAAATAATGTTTATTTACACGGGAAAAGAAACAATATTTAACATGAAAATGTCCATGTGCTGACGCAAAATATGACGAAGAAAATGTTTTTCTTCGGTTGATCGAACATCGTAGTTAGATATATCTCACCTTGCATTAAATACCGTCTCTTTCTCTCTTCTACCTATATGAATAAATATAAAAGTATCATTATACACATTTGATTCACGTCGTTCACAATAGTATAGAAACAGGAAGATGTTTTCTCTTCAACAAACTGCTTTCATCTGCTTTCTTCTATTGAGTAAATTTATTTTCTCGAACAAGGTTCTTTTATTTTCAACTTATTGTAGCCTTTATTCATTTGATTGATGGTCTGACATGTTATTCGTGTACGGGTGCGAAATGTGACGATCACTTTCATTCAAACAATATTGAACAAATAACTGTACGTGATGATCAAGGATATTCATGTGCTGTAAGTGAATAGCTTTTTTCAATCTTATATCATTTATTTTCTTTAAATAGAAATATTGGTCTCCAGAAACTGTTGTAACTCCTAGCCATATCATGCGAACTGCTTTAAGATTTTGCATACCAAATAATGTCCTAGGAATCGGTGTATTCTGTTGTTCGACAGATTTATGCAACGATGCCACCAAAATGATATCGTTACCTTATTTTATCTTCAGTCTGCTGCTGATCATTATTTACCTTCTCTATTAAGACAATTTCGATAAATTCTTTTCGATAATATACATTTTATATTGTTACTTCTTAACTCAACTTTATTATTCTTTTGCTTGTTTAATTTATGTAAATTTCCTATCTATAAAAAAAAATATTTTTACTCTGGTATTCTCAATTTTCGTTATTGATTAATTATCCACTGGTTTCTTATCGTATTCAATATTCCTATTCGTGTATTTCCTAGATTTCTATTCTTCATTTCCAACTAACATCTATTATCTCTTTACCTTGATTTATCTCATCAAAGGCATATCGAACTGATGGGAACTAAAAAAAAGTTTGTTTTTGTTTCTTTTCATCTTATTGAGAGCAGAACAATGAAAAATATCAGAAATATTTTTTGTGTACGGAACCGATAGTTACACTACTATCTGTTATTCAGTTACATCTAACAAAAAGTTTTGTGATTTTGATTATTTCATTAGAAAAGATCTTATTCGCGAGAATGACGATTATTCATACACATTAAAGTAGAGAACACTACCTTTCTCGACATAAACTTATCACTCACTGTGTTTTTATTTTTTATGTTTGGTTAGCACAAAGACGAATATATTTTGGTTCTAATTGGTTCTCAGCAAAATAAATGCAGATGTTTTTTAGTATCTCGATATCTAAAGCAAGAAAAATAGGTAATAGTGAAAGCACTTATATATATTTTTGTCTGTCTTTGCTCAACAAAAATCAGAAAGTAAACATCAATTATATTCTACAGGTAGGGAGGCATTTATTTGATGATCAATAAAGTGTCAATAATTCTTCCTTATTGAGAGGAGTAGAGTAACAATGAATAGTAAATGAACAAACATAGATTTATATCAGAGTGAATGGATACTTTTTTTCATACAATTCAAATTTCAGCTGGATTTGTGTCTAACAATTTTTGCTTCCGTCGATCAATTTGGACAAGCTTTTATATTTATTCCTCTCTAAATGTCTCACATAGATACCAGAAGATATCATTGGATAAGATTGTGCATCTCTCATTCCCTCATTCGAGTACCTATAATATTTTCTTTTTGATTAAGCTAATATGAAAGCAACTGTGTAAAATCGAATAATCAACGGTGTCTACAATATGTACATATTCTACGTAAGACGATGCTGTATAATGCAGAAGAGAAAAATAATAGGAGGGTAGATCATACTATATTTTCTTATCACATTGAGGAAACAAAAAAGAGATGGGTAACATCGTCGAAGGAAAGAAAAAACAGAAGCATCGACAAAGTACTGAGAACATGAGTGACAAGATTGATAGGACATAATATGATATGCTACCATGTACTTGTGGATTCTTTGGCTTATAGATCACAAAGTGTTATACAAATAAAACTTCTATAAACGAGTTATTGAGTTTTCAATAGTGACCTAGTCACAGTGAGAACATCAAAGATCTTTGCTTCCTTCTGTGAAAGTATTTGACAGTTTCCAGCGTAAAGGCAATGTGAACGTTCTATATTGCAAATCTGCCAGTGATTTTACATATATAACAAAAATCTTCTAACCAAAACTGTTCATTTAGAAAGTCAATCTATCCGAGAGATATCGTTGAAAATCTCGTTATTTTTTCCTGAATGCAAAATATGAGATTTTACAAATTTAACTGTATTACGACTTCCTTTAATTAACTTTGTCCGACTTGACTAGATCACTCGCACGAAATTCGATACATGCAAATGTTCTATTAATTGAATACTTCCAGAGAATCCTATATATTTCGATTAGAAAAACTCAAAATATTCCCACCACCATAAGACGTATTTTATCAACATGCCTTCATCATTGGCCATTTTTTCTTGAAAGTCCATGAGTGTAATAGAAGAATTCGCTTCAACAGTCATACCTCAAGAAAAAGTATAATAATCGAAGCTGCTTAGTCTTTTCTCTAATGAAACTAACTCGGACGATTCGGAAGAGCATCATGTCAGAGGCCATCTAATACATAGAAACATTCTTTCCTCACCAAGAAGCGCCAACAACTTTAATTCGGTTAGGTTTTCCATTGTTTAGTTGAGAGCAAGAGTAAACTTGTACTGTTTTTATTTTCAGATGACGATGAAACACAAACAAAGAAGAATAAAAAGTATCACAAGATCAATAATACGTCATTTTCTTTTGTTGTCTGTTCGATCTAGCATAAGAATGGGTTTTTTCCTCCCTTGATTTTCAAATGGCTATATAATAATTGTAAAGATTGTTTCTCGGAGGAAAGGAAACCAAAGTGTATAGTACGTGCACGTTTGATTTTGATCGACTGTCAAGCTTCGTCAAGGAAAACCTGTCCTATACTCTCCATTCCAAACCTACTAATGTTTAGAGAATGTGATGGATTTTGCATCTTTCATACAACACCTATTGCAAACTGAGAAAAGTGCGAAAACGTTTCGTATTTCTCTTATGAGTCATGGTATGAAGGTCATGACCTAGGTTGCTCAAGTAAAGTCTACTGATTTGTACAAAGCCTGTCCCATTTTGTAGAGGGTGTGTGGATGTGGGTGTGTGTATCTCCTTCTTGACCACACCAACACCCATATCCCACACCCATCCTTGAATATATATGCTATTATTTAAAAAACGCTTTACGTTGAACAAATATAACTGGTACTACTAGTAGACATGATTGCTTTAATTTTTCTTCTATTAATAAAGTACTTTATTTATCACATCGTGCTCCATAAATACATAAACTAAATTAAGTAAAACTACAAGAAAACCCTATGAGAATTTATACAACAAATTTCAAATGACACTTATGAATGATAAGCACCATCTTCCACAATGCATTTGGTAACTCTATTGTTTTATTCATTGGTTATTTCAACTATACAATACACTATAAAACCGTAAACATAAAGAAAAAGTGATCCGTTTTAGTAATAGTTAAGTGGTTCAAACGTTAATAAAATGAATGTTAATCCATAAAGTATGCAGGCTTTTACTTCAATGTCATGTTAAAACTAAAATGAAAGCTGTAAACGCCATTGATGTGAAATTAAAATGACTTGCAACACGATGTAGTTGTTGTTGTTAATCATTCAAAATTGTTTTATACGATTCATTTTGGATTACATCTCTTTATTCTTGTTTACCTAATGTTTGAGAATTGCAATAAGGAAGGAACTCAACTATTATAATGAAATTAGTAATAGATGATTTGTGATTATTTTATGTATTTGTCACCAATTACGCTTCAAGCGATAAGATATACGCCTTTCTTTTAATAGAGAAAAAAAAGTTAAGATGACAAAAATAAAGATAGAGAACAAGATGAGTAATACAAGCTATCTTTTACATATCAAGATTTCTATACTTAAGAAAATTTTACCATAAAAATAATTCCAATTCAATGTTATTCAAGTTATTGTAATCGTTTTTCAAGTCGCACATTGATGGCTTCAGGTGCGATAACATTCGTTTCTCGTAGAACCATTCCTTGACGGATCTTTTCACCAGGTAGAATATTATATGTATGTAATAAACCTGCCAAAGACATTTTCAATGCCATCACAGCAAATCTCATTCCAACACAATTTCGAGGCCCAACACCAAATGATAGGAAGGCCGCAGGATGACGTTGTATGGCATGACGTTCGGGAATAAAAAGGTTAACATCTTCTGGTCCCCAGAGATCAATATTGTGATGAAGCGAATAGATGTCCGGCATAATTATCGTACCTGAACAATGAGAAGTAAGATTAGTTGATATCTATAGCATTTTTGTTCTCAAGCAACAAGCATGAAATGTTTTCTTCACCTTTTTCGATTAGATGGCCGCAAACAACCGTTGTTTCATTGCACTCTCGAACTCTTACTCTGCCTGAAAATGAATGCATCCGAAGTACTTCGCGCAAGAATAAATCCATATATGACATATTAGCAATCACATCATAATTGAGTTCCTTTATGTTATCTTGCCAATGTTCATCAATTTCTGCTTGTAGTTTTTTATGAACTTCAGCTTCTGTAGCTAAAATATAAGTGGAAAATGCTAGCATTGCTGCAGTTGTTTCGAAGCCAGCGACCATAAAAAGAAAGATGTTCATCAATACTTCGGTATAATGCAGATGCTTGGACATTAGTTCGTTGTCTTCGTGATCCTATAACAACGAAAAATACGGTAATAACTAGATTTTTTCTTTTATCAACTCAAATTCACCTTGACTTCATCATTAGTTGCTACATCCAACATCAACTGAAGTAAATCTGTTTGTTTCTTTCCAGATCTTAATCTTTCTTTAACTACATTTTCGACTTGTTTCATAATCCATACAGTAGGCAGGTCTTCAGTATTAGACATTAGCCAAGGCATTAAAGTACGGATTGTATCGATAAAAAAGGAATGAGCCTTGACACATTTCGTGAGCAATGGCGTAAGAAACGGCATAACAATGGACAATTTGACGATAAAGAGATTCTCTATCTTTATAGCCGCACTAGCTGTTGATTTTTTCATATAAATATTTTCGACATCGTTTTGCATATCCGTATCGATACCAAATATACAATGCCCTATATACATAAATATATTTATATACATTGTAGTAGAAATCAGCAATTAGAAATCAACTCTGTCCTAGGAACAGAATAATCGTAGTTTCATCTAATTTTATTCAATTTAAGGCAACTTTAGAGAAAAACTAAGATAGGTGAGCATTCAAGCTAAGTCATTCATTTTCACTTACAAATAATATCCATGGTTAATCGTCTATAGAACACAAATATATTGAATTCTTGACCATTCATGTCGTCAAGTTTGACCATCATTGATTGGATACATTTGTTTATAAGAGGCATCATCATTTTTAATTTTGCTGCTGAAAATGTTGGGTTTATCACATGCCGTTGACGTCTCCATCGATTTCCTTGTGCAAAAAATAGATGTGCTCCTTTTTCTATGTGAATACGAGAAAGAAAATTTACAGGACGCGAATGAAACGATGAGAATTGTTTTATATAAACTTCTTGCAAAAAATCAGCGTCAGATACAATATACATTGGATTTTTTCCTTCGAAAAGACCATAAATAGGACCATAGAGACGAGTCCATTCGATGATGGGTGTGAAAGAGAGAGGTGTGTTCCAAATTTTGAGTAAGTTACCAAAGAAGAACTGTGGTGATGGTCCAGGAATATTTCGACGAACGAAATATTTATAATGTGATTTCAAATTCAACACATATATAACAAATAGAATGATAAAAGCAACGAACAATATGGTAGTAATAAACATGTTTTTTATGTTTTGTAAATGCACATTCACATAAATATGCTTTGAGAGCGTGACGAATTATAATAGACTCTCGTTCTTTTCTCTAGTCATGAAATCAAATATACGTCATTAATAACTGGTCTTTATATAGCTTCATTACATTTACTTGGAATATTCGTTTTATCATTTTCTTTTCATCTTCTTTGAGTTTTTTTTTTATCTTTTACAATTTTGTGTTCTTGACAAATTCTGCATTCAATCATTCAATGAAACATCATAGTCGTATCTATGATTTATTTATCCCTCGTGGATTGATCTACGACGTTTAATTACCTTTCATGACGTTAGCAAAAATAAAACATCATAATAAAACAAAAAGATGTAATAAGCAAGCAAAAGATATTTTTTTTGTTCAGAACAGCCAAAGATGATAGTAATTACAGAATTCAGAATTTTATACACTTGTTTTTTTTTTCTTAGTTCATAATGAAACACAAAATAAATGATTATCGAGGATGCTGTGACATTTCAACACATCTATTTAGTTATTTATTGGTACAGTTCTTAATAGTTTACAAGTGCGGAAAAGATTTGATTCTCTGATAATTGCAGAATATGCTACCAGTTTAAGAAAATTAGTGGAATATCAAAAGAATTTTTTGTAACAAAGTGTATGAAATATAAATCAAGGAGAACATGCAGTATTTTGAAATTAAAGTTTTATCCTATTTTTTATCAAATAATAAAATAGGATTGCAAATTTTATTGTACAAACGATGAATATTGAACATGTTACTCTCAATATAGAATTTTGTTCAACGTGACATCAGCTTTCAAATTCTAATCGAAATTCGATAATAATTTAGATATTTGATTTCGAAAGTAATCATTATTTGTTTATAGAAGTTTTATGATTAATTGTATATCACCTAGCTGTTTTCATAGTGGTTATCGGCAAAGTATTATTCTGTTATCAACAATAAAAATTCAGGAAAATTCTACAAAGTTTTTAAATTCTTAGGAAGATTCTGTTTTTATCTAGGAGAAAATGCTGTAGAATATTTCGTGTTCTACTGATGAACTGTATAATTTTATTTCAATAATGCAGAGTTCTTTCAAGTTTTAGAAGAATTTCATGTTTAGAACAAGAAAAATGCTTTAGATAAATGTGTCTTGCATGAAATATTATCTTCTACTAGGACATATAGAATTCTGCTGAACTTTCTTATTCTAAGTAGAATTTTTATTTATTGAAAATAAAATATGAATTATTTCTTTATCAACATTCCTACCATTTGCTCCATTCAAGTTGGTATTAATAAGATACTCACTTATTTTCATGTGATACCTGTTTGAATAACAGCTTAAAAGGTTATTCGTTTTCTTGTATACAGTGATCTTTTGCAGCAAAAAAATCTAAAATCATTCATCATTTGTCAATAATTTACGATCAGAGCTGAGTGATACGAACATTGAGTTTCATAAAGATAGTTTCTATAGAGGAAGGGTTGTCTTTCTATTGGTCTTCGTTCTATCCGACGTTGTTGACCGAGACGTATAGAATCGAAAAATGCGCAGCATCGATAGGTAGTCTAGAGATAAAACCAACAGAGTAGGACTTGTGTGAAAGTGAAACGAGCAGATGTTTTATATTAAGTAATCAATACTCATTTTTATTCATTATCGTTATTAATGGATTTATTTCGTTGATTTACGAAATGATTTAGTTTTCGTTCCATATATGTTAATGACAACGTTGTTCGGTTGCAAATTTCCTGTTTTTCAATTTTTTTTTCAAAAAAAAATTTGATTAAAACCTAATACTCCCTCATTTTCATTCACTTGAGAGTATTTTTGAAACTTCAATTGAACGGCATCCTCATTTTACCTGTACAGTGAAATAATAATTTATAATTCGGGTCTGCTCAGTACAAATATGCATGTGCATACAGTTTGGTTTTTTTTTCTCCTTATTATCTATACGTCGAACTACAATGCAAAAAATAATTTGCGAACCATGTGAAATAAGAATAAATTGTCACTTTCAGATGGTTAACATATAATCTAAAAGATTAAAGTGTAGAAAATTAAAATATCGATGTTCAAAACCGACATGAACAGCATATGAACATGTTATAGAACTTTTCTTTTTAGGTACGTTCATCTGTTTTTTTCGGGTGCTTCATGGATGCGAGTGTGGGTATGCATGAGACTTCTTTTGAGTACCATCCACACTCTCACACCCTGAGTGAGTATACGGGTGAACGTGTTCTCTTTTCTAATACCTATACCTACCTATACTCTTCTACAGAATTCGTACGTCCATCTTCAATACTAAAATGTCACATTTTTTCTCTTATGGTTTATTGAACTCAAATTTTCAGGATAAATTCGTATTGGTCAGGTTGAAACACAAACGGCACACGAAACTATTCCAGTATGTGATATAGAAAACCGCCATTTCAGTAAGCAAATATAATGGAAACCTTAGGATATAATGAGAAGATTGATGTCGAAATATGAGCATTTTTAAGCGCCTGAACATGCTTAATTGACTGAAGTGTTTTGAAGCATATCTGTTTCTGAAGTTTAAGCTACTTCAAATGATTCATACTAGACCAGCAGCTTATAAGTACCTGCAAATACGATATACAAGTATTTATTAGCTTTCTACATGTATGTAAGCATATACGAATAGCTTGAAAATATCTTAAAATGAGACATCTTTGTTCATATGAGTACTTCCAACTAAAATGTCTTCTCAATGTTAGTCATCCATAATATAATCTTGGCTTGAGAATTCCAGTTCGCTATAGTATGTTCATTGGAAATAATAATGTTGTAAGTTACGGTACACAGCCATTTTATCGAAGACCTTCGCATCAAAATCTTGAGAGATACTTTAGATACCGAGCTGAGTTATCCCGAATAACCGAAAATCGTTGTTTGACTGTACTTAAAATATGAGTCGATAGGCTGAGGTCCATCTTGTATCATATTGACGGTCAGCACCCAGGTCATTGTGAGTAGCATTTCAAACTAAAATATCAAGATTGATTTTTCCCATTCTTTCATAAGGTTTCCATAGAGTTTGTACTATGCGATGATGATTTGCTAGATGACGAGCTGAACGCTTTTTTTCTGCACGCTGTCTTTTTCTAAACTATCCTAGAAGGTTATTCTAAAAACTTATTTCTTTCAATCAATTTAGCAAAAGTTAATCATTTTGTAGTGATCGATAAGGCAAGTTTGGAGAACGACTCTGATTGTTTGAAAAAATTTTGAAAATAAAAAATCACCGATTTTTTTCAAATCATCTTTTGTTTCCTTTTTGTTAGTTGCTACTTTGTTCAAGCGCAGTGTTTTAGTTCTTCTTTAATTCTCTTGACGTTCAGTATGCATAAAGAAAATAGTCCTTGTCGAACGTCGGGCTCATTGAATAGAAACAGAAAAGAAATCAAATTGTCTGAGACGCAGCGCGTCTTGTTTACAGAAAAGAAAAATATTTCATTGTTTTTTAACTGTTTTCCTTTCCGTTTTAGAGTTTTTTTTGTGAAGAGGCGCCGATATTTTAGCCAATCAAATAAAGTTCGATACATGAAGATTGACATCCTAATGCCTCGAGTGTTTCTCTTTTTCTTCTTCTGTGTGAAACTCTTTTTAGACCTGTTTCCTTCAAACTAAATTGAATTTAGTGAAGTTTGCTTTTTGTAAAAAAAAAACAATTGGAGAAGATAAGAAAAAAAATACAAAAAAAAAAGAAAATAACGAGAATCGATATGCCACACATTAAACACATTATCAAAAAGCGTAAAATAAATTCTATTATTATATTTTTCATTCTGAAAAAAGAAGCGAATGTACTTCAAACAACAGAGTTTATCGTTTTTGCGTTTAACAACAAGAGATCCCTATGATTATTGTTAAGGGTATGGATCATCTTCTCTGGTACACCCATAATCTTATTTTATCAAATAGTATCTAGCTGTTGCAAATCAATGGATATGATTTCATTTAAAGACAGCATCAGAGTATAAAGTTACTGTCATTTGATATAGAGTAAATCATTAAGATGATGAGAAAAAATAAAATAAAATAAAACCATGCTTAAGTTTCACAGAAATCAACTCAGTCAATACGAAACTATAAACTCGAGTTTGATTCACTTCTGACAACTAATTTACTATTATTTTTTCCATTTTTATGATACATGTTATCTCGATTCGTTCGAAATCTGTGAAATTTTTTGTCTTTCTTATTAGACTGAAATCCAATTTCAGCGCTAACAACTATAATGATAGTCGTATCGAACAATAATTCTACTGTAGTAAATAATTTAATGTTACACTATATTGTAGATATTACTAACTATATTTAGATCAGCGTTATTTCTATCCATCAATTTAGTGCAACTATTTAATTTGGTAATGAAAATGAAGCAGATATTTTTTGTTGCCACGTGACCTATCTACGTAGATGTCTTGTTTATTTATGAAACCTGAGACGAATGAAAGAAATGGATGAAAAAAAAAGATCGTAAAAACATTCTCATTTTCGTCAATACACAATGTCATTTGAGTTCGTTTTCATGACATCAAGACCACGCTTGTACGCTCGTAGTCGAGCTTGTAAAACAAATTCTTGTCTTTCATCTTCATCTAAACCAGATGTTCTCGTTCTTCTCGATGACGACGCTGATTCAAATTTGATAGTCGAACATCTAAGTAAAGAGCCTATACTTTGTCAAGTAATCGTATTACCAGACGTTGATGCTTTGAATCAATATTATCGATCGCATGATAATAATGATAATAGTAATAAATGGATTTATCTTGTTACATCAATTTCATTTACCGATCAAATTAATAAATTAGCAAACGTAAATGATGATTTTTACTCAATTTCTACTTCTGAGTATATTCTTGCTCTAGAAGAAGTTTGTCGAGTATTCGATAAAAAATTTGAACTTTTTCACGACGAAGAACGACTTGCTAAGGCATTGAGAGATCATCTCAATTCATTTCTTACATTAGACGATGTTGAATTATCAAGTCAGAGTGTCTCATTACAGACACCAAGTTTTGCTTGGTTTCAATTCATGTTTATGTTACTTTCACGCCTTGAACGATCCGATATAGGTATGCAAGAAGTAATTGATAGATTACGTATTGATTATCATTTTGAATCAGATACTATCGAAGAATTCATTGAAACATATTCATCGGAAAAAGCAATTGAATGGTGTATGAAAGATTCATTTTATTTTGGTCATATTAATCATACATTACGTAGTAAAGATATAAAAAATATTTTTACACATCGAACAATTATTCGCGATGTCGAACAAAGTCTTATTTCATGGCATTATGATCAAAAACAAGTGTGGAAATGTTTGTTACCAATGAATGTTTATCGTGGTCAAAAGACTTCAAAACAAGAACTTAAATCATGGCAATCTAATATTGGTTCTATTATAACAATGACATCATTTCTTTCAACAAGTATGGATAAAAAGATTGCTAGTGTATTTGCCGAAACATTTGATAACGATGATAATGATGATGAAGCTACATTATTTACCATTTGGGTGGATAAAAACATAGCACCTAAATCTATTTTTGCTTATTTATATCATGCTGATTGTGAACCCGATGATCATGAAATTCTTTTCTCTCTTCGCACATTGTTTCGTATTGATAAAGTCGAATATGATAGTTATGACGAAACATGGTATATTAATATGACAGTTGTAGATGAAAGTAATGAAGAAGTACAAAGAGTAACAGCACCATGGAAAACATCAATTTTAAAAGAAAATAATTCTTTTCAATCGGAAAATAAATCACTTATCTATGTACGTGATTTATCAGCGGATAATGGAGCTTTTCTTTCATTTCAACTCTCGCTTGATATAGTACTTCGTTTAGATCGAAATGATTTTGCTCGTCAAGAAATGCTTTCAATGTGTCGAACTAAATTTAGTCATGATCTATTGACATTGGCAAAAATTGATCGATTTGAAATGAACTATCAATCAGAACAAGATGCAGTCAAATGGTATACAGCGGATAGTTTTCTTTATCGTCTTCTTAATGAAGTTCTTCGTATTGAAACGGTTGATCATATTTTTAAACTGCGTTATTTTATTCAAGATCTTCATAATCAATTAGCTCTAATGCAAGTTGATTACTTAAAAAGATTAAATAGATATAATCTTTCAATTTTAAAATTATATCGTGGTCAAGTTATGACAAGGAATGATTTAGAAAATAATTTTCGTACTAATAAAGGAAATCTTGTATCAATGAATAGTTTTTTATCAACTACAACAGATCGTTACGTAGCCCGTGCATTTGCGAGCGATGGTGATATTGAAAATCCAGAAACTCAAGTATCTGTACTGTATGAAATTGATATTGATACTCGATTACCTCATTCAGTACCATTCGCTGAACTCGGTGATCAGAGTAATTTTGAACATGAAGATGAGGTACTCTTCTCAATGGGAGCCATTTTTCGTATCGGAGAAACTTATGAAGAACACAGATATTTATGGACAGTAAAATTAACTTTAACTACGAATGAAGATGAACAATGGAATGTTTTGACCGAGCATTTACAACAACAAGAAGAAGCATCTAATCAAATGAATAGACAAATATCGATGATCAATAATAGAAATGAAAAGATTATTATTAATCCAAATACTATGAATACAAAAAAACGAAGAAGCCGAAGTTTCAACGATCGTTATTACTTGAAGCGTGAGTTTCGTCGATCGAATTGGTCTAAAGCTTTCCAAATAAGAATGAGTCGACGATTTGAACATCCAGAGTTTCAACTTACTCACAAAGAGATTTAATTCCGTGGTTTTTCTATAGACACTATCAGTAAATTCGATGATCAATGCAAGCTAATTGATATGTTCTTATTTTGTGACTATAATTTTGTTCTCGCTCTCTTCTCTCATCAATCATATGAGTCGCACTATCTCGTTTACAACGCTTTTCGATCGAGTTTCTTGTTGCCTATCAGGAAAAAGAATATGTATATCCCTTTCCAGCCGGATGTATCCAAATGGATACATTAAGCCAATGTTCTACGAATAAGTAACTTGTAGTGATGATATGAAATGTTTTGACAATTTGATAAATAAGGTAACACATTTCAACACACATTCACATACTTAGAAGAAGGAAAAAACACTCACTAAGAAAATGACCAGCCCTACCCAAAATGCCCCAAAATAGCGTCCGTATAGAAATACTCCTTTTTTCGTGTCTCTAAATAATCAAACTTCGAAGCAAGTAGTTGTTAATTTTCCTTCATAGACCTATTGTCTATTGCATCACTAAGACGGATTATTTAAAAAATCCGAATAATAGAAAATGGGAATGTATCCATTTGGATACATCCGGCCACTAAGGGACAAAAATTTTGAAAAAGTCATTTTTTTTTGTCTAGCAAAATTCGATATTTTATGGTGTTTGTTTACATCTATATTTGTAGATGCAATCACACGTTGCCTGTTTGTCGATATTTTCCAGTCCAAAGCTCAAATGTTTATAAAATGTTCTAAGATTCGGCAGTAGGGTGCAATAGTAGCTCAATTTTTTCCGAAAATTTCTAGAAATTCAGGAATATTGTACAGAGTTGCTGAATATTTCGTAATGGCCTAGTTCTGAACACTACAGAATGTTCAGAAACTCTTTAGAATGTTTCTGAATTTCCAAAAATTTTGGAAAAAAATTGAGCTACTATTGCTCCCTACTGCAGAATCTTACAACATTCTACAAACATTTGAGCTTTGGACTGCAAAACATCGGCAAACAGGCAACGTGTGATTGCATCTACAAATATAGATGTAAAAAACGCCATAAAATTTCGAATTTTGCTAGACAAAAAAAATGACTTTTTCAAAATTTTTGTCCCTTAGTGGCCGGATGTATCCAAATGGATACATGAAGCCATTAGATGTCGAAGCACTTATTGGTTCTGAGAAATAAACTTTTCCTATCTCCATGATCTAGGAGCTGCGAAAGTCCATCAAAAGACTTTTTTGCTACTTGTCTTCTAGTCGCCGGCTGGAAAGGGATATTCATGCTTGAACGAAATCAAAATCTTTCTTATCGATTGCTATATTCTGTCCACCATCTAAGTATATTACACAATGTTCATTTTTAAACAGAAACAGCTACATCTCTTATCTCGCAGATGTATACGGACTTTTTTACTACCAATGCTAATATGTATGACTTTTAAAGATAAAAACATATGACATACTCGACTAAATTGAACGTATACGAGATGTGTCATATTATAGATAAATTAGGGTGGGTGTGGATGGAGAAAATACTAACACCCACACTCACACCCTTTTATCAGAAAAAATTGTATACATATAGAATATTTTTGAACTGGTTACAATTTTACTTTAATATTCTCAGACACAACTAAACAAGCACTAATCGCTATGTACGTTCAAAGAGTGTCTAACTATGGTTTTGTGATTTTCATAATTTGAGATAAAAATGGTGACTCAATTGATAATCGTTTCCAATGAAAGGTAAACGACTAGTGTAACAACAGAGCTTTCTTCGCCGTTTCTGAGATTATTTACGGATCATTGTATAAAACATGCTTAGTTTTCTTCATTTTGTCGAAACACAAAAAATCATTATTGCCTGTATAAGTTTCACGATATTACAATAAAGCTGGCTAAGTAAGAATAATAACTTTTTTTCAGATCATGTATATTCTATGACAATAATGTGTCACTAAAGAAATTTTTTTTGCTAATTTTTTTTCTTTGATTGATTGTGTTACAATATTTTTTTGAAAATAGTGTTTTATTTTCGAATATTTACGTACGAACAACAATAGAGTTTAATATATCACAAAAAAAGAAACATTTAATTGAACAAGATATAATCCGACGTATAAAGAACGGCGCATAAAAAATGAACTACATCTTTTCCGTCTTTCTGAGGATCTTCAAAAGTTTGTAGCAAAAAATCAATCTCAAACCAAAAAAAGATTGAAAATTTTTTGTTCTGACAGTAGGAAATTACTTTAGCGACTGACGAAATGATTTTTTTTTGGTTTCGAAAGAAAATATGCAGCTTACGTTAAAAATAATATTAGATGAAGACATGTATCAAAAGAACTGCATCGAAGCCTATGTGGAACAAAAAAAAAAAAAGATTTTCGTTTTGTAGATCAGTCCAACATATCTTTAAATTGTATGTCAATGAAAATTCTATTTTCAATGAACTTTAAAACAAACAATCTTTTCCATATACTTTATATAATATATAATGCGAATTATGTTCGCAGATACATCTGATCAGAACAAAATTTTAATTGAACAAATTTCAACGAGATAAACAAAATTTTAAAAAAGACACTAGAATTCAGGACTGATTTTAGTACTACTTTTGGTTTCATTTTTTTGCATATGAAAGACAATATTTTTGTCAAGAAAACAAAAGTGACTAATTCTTTATGTGACATCTGTTATAGATATAAATATAAGATGTTCCTTTCCATTTAAACATATTTAATAATCAAATTTATGCACGTTGAAGTTGAATATGAATATCATGCTAATATTATACTCGTTTGCTGCTATCTTATTTCTAAATTCAAAATTAAATGCAAAAATATTACGTTTGATTGTTGGTAAAATCAATGTTGATACTCTTCGTTGTCAAATATGAATAATAATTACAGCAAGTGCTGCAATTATTCGTCCATCTGTCACATTTGACTCATGCATTCTGTGTTTGTTACGTTAAATTTTCGAAAACAATAATTAAGTTTGGCATGATCGATTTTTAGCACACATATATGATATGAAATGTATTTTATTAAATATCAATAGTGAGAAAGACAACTAGTACACACATGCCATGAAATATCATCGTTATGATGATCAGTAAATTATTATTAATATCTAATAACTTTTTCGAATACCATAAATCCAACAGATATCAATATGTTGTCGAATAGTTTTATATTTTCTAACTAATCAACTTAATTCTATTGAAAAAGCTACGAGTGCTTTAATTAATATTATTGCTGAGACATGTATAAACGATGATCAATGGATTGAATGAATTTTTATTATAGTTTTTATAATCTTAGTACTTCAATGCAAGCTTTTAAATTTCAATATTCATACTGTCGATATACCGGTAATAGTGCGAATAAATGTGAACTATAGATAATCTTTAGTGTAGTTGAAATCATTCATGTATAGACAATAGGGCATTCATTACGCATTCTACACATACTTAACAAAGGAAGTTCCCAACTAATAAATTTCTTTTGGTTCGAGACTATGTGCATTATGTAAATACAAATGAGTTATAATTATCTTGAAAATAGTTCATGCCCTTAGCTTATTACTACGGAGATTCCACATTTTTATGTTTTTTTTAAATGAGTGCCGTACCATCTTCTCAACCTTCAGAAACATCAAAAAAACTTTTTCAAATTTCGACTTTACATTTACATCGAATATAACTCTATCTTAGAATAGGAATAACGAAAAGATCTGAAACTTTCATAACAAAAAAATCTATTCTCGTTAAAGAATATTTCTAAGTAAAATCGAAAATTAGTTTTTCCTAAAGGACCTCACAACATTCATTTGAAAAAAATAATCATAAACTCGCAGTATCTAATAAACTAAGACTATGAGCTCATTTGGGTCTGTATAATATATATCACCTATACCCAAAAGCGATATATCAGTTAATGACGTTCCTCGTAGATTATTTTTTTCTCATATATGACATAATTACATCTTAATTTAGTATTACAATCAAAACATTAAATTAGTATGATTATATTTAATTTATATAAATAAAAAAAAGAAAAAAGGATTATTTGTTTGATTAATAGTAATCACAGATGTGAATAAAATGAATATTATTATATAGTTCAAAAACCAGTAGTTGAACTCGAACCACCTCGAGTTTTCATTAATCTCATAAGTTCGACTACACAAAGTAAAATCATATTATGAAATATTATCAATATCGAATTTGACTTACTAGGTATTGGAAAAACAATTGTTGAATTTTTTTCAGCTGCTATATGTGTTAATGTTTGAAGATAACGTAATTGTAATGCAATTGGACTCTCATTAATTACATCAGCAGCTTCCTAAATAAACAAAAAATAAATTCTTAATTTTATATTGATAATATGAAAAAAAAAAACAAATCTTACTTTTAATGATCGTGATGCTTTTTGTTCACCTTCAGCGGCAATAATTTTCGCACGAGCTTCTCGAGCAGCTACAAAAAATAAAATAAAATAAAATCTAATTATTTAATCAAATATAAATAAAATCTAACCTTCAGCTTCAGCAGCCATACTACGTTGCATACTAACAGGTAATCGAACATCTTTCCTAAATAAAAAAAAATAATAATCAAAATTATTAATAAATATAAGAAAATAATTATTTCTAAACATTTACATTTCAACACGTTCAACTTTAACTCCCCATGGATCAGTTCCTTCATCAAGATGAACTTGCATTGAATGTGAAATATTTTCACGATCAGATAAAATTTCTTGTAATGTTTTTGTACCTCTATAATTATAATAAAATAAATATATTCTTGAAAATTTTATTTATACATATATAATTTAACTTACAATATATTACGAAGTGTTGTTGCTGCAAGTAATTGTGTTGAATAACGTGAATTTTCAACATTTGTTACACTTATAATTGGATTAAATATTCGAAAATAGACAACAGCATCTACTGAAACTGTCTATATATAGAAATAAAAATAAAAATTGTTTACAAATTCTTTAAAAATTACAAACCACTGAATCTCG